GGTCGGCACCTCTCCCTGGTGGGGTTTTGCGCAGCCTCCAGCCCGGCAGAACCCTCCGTGCAGGGGGTGACGCAGAAACCCCTGGTGCTGGGCGCTCTGGGGCTCTTGGGAGGCTTCGCGGTGGTGTTTCTCCCTCCAAACAGTTCGGGTTTGTTGGATGGCTCCCAAGGAGCAAAGTGCGGCGTCTGCAGAAAGCAGCCAGGCTGCACAGGCTGCTTGGCTTCTGAATGGAAAACCCGGTCGGATGAGCAAAAAACAGCTTTGGAGGAGAGTTTATGACCAGCTCCCGTATTCCTGGTGGCCTTGCAATGCTCATGCCATTGCTTGGCCTTTCCACATCGCCAGCCTGGGCTGATCCAGGTTTGAAGGGGGACAAAGCGTGGAGCAGACTTGACCGAGGCTGTAGATGGAGTGGGGTCCCTGTCTGCTGTGGTGCTGGCGCGGCCCCGTGTCATCCCCGGTGTCCCTGGGGAGGTGGCAAAGGGTGGGTAGCCAGTGGAGGGGGTGTGGGACCGGTGCTGGCCCATTTGGAGAGGCAACAACTTGTCGGAAGATTTGGCCATGGAGAAGGGGTAGAAATAGAGGCTGTGAAGGCAAACGCCTGAGGTCTTGACCCTGCCTGAGTGCAGATCTTGCACTGGGACTTGCCAGTTGCCCACCCCATCTGTAGCCGGGGGAGCCTGGATTGTCCCCTGTGTCCCCCATGTCTGTCACCTTCCATGTGCAGCCAGCTGCTGGGGGTGCAGGCATCCCCTTGCTCCCCTCTGCTTTTCAGCTTGGCCCTGGGGGTGTTTTTGGAGATGCCGGCACTGCGGGGGGGGACACAAAGTCCCAGTGCCTGGGTCAGCAGCATCGTGCTGAGTGGCAGCTCCACGGTGAAGTCTGTCCCTGCAAGCCCTGGGGCTGAGCCGCCGGCTGGGCAGCACCTGCTTCGCAGGCAAGGAGAAGAGTTTGGGAGTAAAGGCTTCGCATTTGGTTTTCTCCCGTCATTGCAACACAAACTTCAGGCTGTCTCTCTGCCCCGCTGCTGCTCTAAGCATCTCTCTGCCTCCCAGCACGACTGGGAAACATCCCCCCTTGTTCTGGCTGTGCAGGGAGACCTCCCTCTGTCCCACCCGTACCTGTCGGCAGCCTAAAACCAGCCAAAACAGTGAATTTTTTTGCTCTCTGACCTATACTGGAAGCTGGGGTGGGAATTGGGATGTTCTTGCCCTGGATTGAGTGTTTACAGGGGCGACCAGCATGGACAGACCAGCTTGGACTCCCAGTTTACCTAAGACCATGCCCTGGAGAGAGATCTGTCCTTAACTGGGAGAACTGGACCTGGGTGGGAGCTGGGAGCCGAGTTCCTCTAGGCGCTGCCTACCCCATGCCTGCTTCCAGCTCCCAGCGGAGGGGCTTGCTGTGACCCCCGGACAAGCTGAAGCACCAAGTCCCCATGGTAGATGGGTGGAGTGAACCTGGTTTGAATCCCGTTCCCATGGACAGGGAGACCTGGGAGGCTCGGGTGGGCTGGGGTGAAGGGGACCGAGGCAGGTCTCCATGGGTGCTGACATCTCCCTCGCCCTGGGCAGGGCTGCTGCTGCAGGAGATGACCATGGCGGGGCTGCATGAGCTGCGCTTCACCGAGGAGAAACCGCTGCTGCGGGGCCAGGACACCGAGCTGGTGAGTCCGGTGCCTGCACTGGCTCTGGCTTCTGCACATGGGGTGTCAGGATGCGGGTGCTGAAGTGGGAGCTTGTAGGGGTGCGTGTGCTGCTTTGGGGTACACGTGTGGGCACATGTGTGTTGCTATTCGGTGCATGCGTGTGTGTGCAGGCGTGTGCTGGTATTGGGTACACGTGTGGGCACATGTGTGGTATTCAGTGCGTGTGTGTGTGTGCAGGCGTGTGCTGGTATAGAGGGACATGCATGGGTGAGCACGGGTCCTGGTTTGGTGTCATGGGGGGTGTGAAGATGTTGCACATATGTGCTGATACACACTTGCGTGTGTGCACGCATGCATGCACTTGGGGGCGGGTATTGTAGATGTGCGTCTGTGTGTGCACATGCATGGGCATCGTGTCCCCCTGCAGCCAGCGCTGCCCCAGGGAGTGGGTCCCTGTGGTGTCAGGGGCTTTTGTGAGTGGGGTGGGAGGAGGGTGCTGTGGGAGCGAGGGGAAGCAGGCGGACGTCTCTGTCCCTAATAGCTCCTTCTCTCCCCAGGAGAACTCAGATGTCTTCCTCTCCACTGTGGACACGGACTGGAAGGTAGGACCAGCCGCAGGGGGTCCACCAGACCCCTCACCCCTGGGTCCCGCGTGGGACAGCAGTCTGTGGCTGGGCAAGGCTGCGGGATGCTGAGTGGACCCAGGGGTGTTGCTGTCCCCCCCTTCCATGGGGATGCAGTGCCTGGTGGGTGTCCATGCATGAGGCTGCGCGTCCATCGCTGTCCCCAGCCGGGGGGGGTGTGTGTGTGTCGCTGCCAGGCAGGGTCTGTGCTGGCGCTCGGAGGTGGCTGGCAGGCACTTGGCGATGCGCCGGGGACAAAACCTCTTTAAAACAGGCGATTTCTTCTCAGGAGGGCCGAGCTGCTTTTCCAGCCCCTCCACCATTGCCATGGCAATGGTTTCCGAGGCGATGCCAGCTCCCTGCTTACATAAGGACGTTTGAAAGCCTCTTTCTTTTTTTGGAGGGCTGGGGCATTGCCCCCTGTACCACCCACCTCTCTTGGAGAGCAGGGCCCCTCTACTCCCCTGGCTGGCACCTGCCCGCCTCGTACCTCTGTTTCGCCTCTTCAGAGGAGCCCCACGATGTGGCCTCGGGGCTCGCAGGGGCTTAGCTCATGCCTGGCTCCCATGTTGGGCTTCATCGCTCTCACACCTCTGCCCAAGCTCATCCCACACCAAGCTCCCCCTGCAGAGACCAGGGTGCTGGTAGATGGAGAGGGGGGGTAGTGGGGCTGCCGGACCCCAGCTCGCTGCCTGTCCCTCTCCCAAAGCATCCCCCCTGCCAGGGGACACCAGTGACCGACTTTAGGTTGTACGTTGCTGCTTTGCCAGCGGCGGGGACTGCTGGGAGGGTGGGCTCGGGTGGCGCTGGCTGAGCCCTGCCAGGTCCAGCACTGAAACAGCAGCACCTGCAAGGATAAAGTAAATCTGGATTTCATTCAGCCTGGGAGAGGGGCAGGGGAGCCCAGGTCCCCATTTTGGCAGACTCAAAGTGGTGCCCAGGCTTTTGAGGCTGGCCCGCTCAGTCTCTATCACCCGTGAAGGTGGCAGGGTGCAGCCGGGTGGGGAGCAAGGACTTTTGTCAGGATGCTGGGCAGTGGCTGCTGTGGTTCACAAAGCAGGAGATTTCTGGGGACCCTCTTGGAGGCCACAGAATTGTTCAACAATGGCAATGGTGGAAAAGAAATGCCACCCTTCCCAGCAGCTCCAAAGCTGGTGAGATGCTGGGGCCAGGAGCGGCAGGATGCTTGGGTCTGGGCTGCTCCTTGCTGTGCTTGCTCAGGGTCCCTGTTGACCACTGGAGGGGAAACCAAACCTCCTGGTGTCACCGAAGCGAGGGCGAGGGGGGGAGAGAGGGAGGGAAGAAGGGAGAGGGAGGCAGCACTGCTGGAGCAGGGCTCGGCTGGCATGCAGGGGATGTTAAGGAGCAATGACTCTCCTAGGGCAATCTTTGCGTGCTGATATTTCAGGAATTGGCGCACAGTGACGCTGAACTGTGTCCCTGGTGGTGCCCAGGTGGAGCAGGTCTGGACAGCAAATGCCACAGTGATGCGCCCACATGCCTGTGGTACCTAAAAAAAATGAACTGGGCAAGGATCAAGGCGTCTTTTCCCAAGCCAGTCAGGCCCTGCACCCTCTTGATTCCCCTCCAAGAGCCTCAAGGTGGGGATGGGATGAGCTTCCCAGGCTGTGCGGGGGCAACTCCCTCTCTTCCCCCACCCCAGCACTTCACAGGTTGGTTCCCTGTGAAGGCTGGGGGCTCCCTGCCCTGCCTTGGGGAGATCTCACCCCATTTTCTAGACTCACCTCCTTGGAGTAATTCAGTCCAGCCCCCACCTTAGCTCTTCACTGTCCCTCTGCCCTTTCCCAGCCACGGTCACTGCTCCCTTGCCGAGGGGCTCTGGCCTGGCCGGGGCAGCGGGGGGGTGGTGGGGATCCCCCACTGTTGCCGTCAGCCGAAGTAAAGCCCTTGGGGCTGCTGGTATAAGCCAAGGTGCAGGGGGACAGGTGCCTCTGCCTTGGGACCTGGGCACCCTGGCCCTGCTGGAGGTCTGGGCCACCTGGCAGGCAGATGGGCTAGTAGTCAATGGGGTGGCAATACCATCTGATGCCATTCAAGCGGAGCCAGCCTTGCTCAGCCCTCCCATCTCCCTGCGGCCCTTATGCATTCGTGCCTTACTTCACCTCAGCTTTTCCAACCCTTCTCCCCTCTATTTTGCCACCTTCTGTCTTTTTTAGCCTGCTCATGCCCCTCTGCATCTCTTGCTTTTTCCCGGAGGCTGTGGCTGCTCGTGCTCTTTGGCTCCCCAGGCAGTAGGGCTGAGGAAAGCAAAACTGGCACCCGGATCCACGAACGGCTTTGTACCTGTGCCACGAACCACCTGGGAGCTGGGCTTCGCCCTCACACCTGGTCCTTTGTTAGCAGAGATGCATCTCTCCGGGCTTGGGTCTGAGCTCTCGGTGGGACAAAGCAGTGCAGAGGAAAGTCTCTTTGGTGGAGGCAAGGTGGATGCTCTCCCTCTGCCTGTCTGCCTGCCTGCCCTTTCTCCCACGTCCAGACCCTCTGGCTGCCCAGCCCGGACTTGTTTGCAGGACATTGCTTTCAGTGACCCCCCACCAGCTCTGGGTGATCATTTCTCCGGGTCAGGGAAAGGGCTCTTCCCAGGGAAAAATGGCTCAGCCCTGTTACTAGACACCAGAGACTCCACAGGAACAAGCCTGCTGGTTGAAGCTGAGTTCACGGGGCTTTGCCATGCAGGGAGGCCTGTACGTCTCTGATGACGGCAGCTGGACCTCCTCTGCCCATGGCTGCGGTGCGTGCCAGGGCACGGTGGAAGCAAACCATGGTGAGCTACTGGGGTGGGGATGCTGCAGAGGTGATGGCAGGCTCCAGCTGGCATGGAACATCCCTGCGGTGGGCAGGGGGGCTGGAGGGTCCCTGCTGGATCCTACCCTGGTCCAGCACTGGCTTGTGGCTCTCCAGCTCCTTTGGGCAGGGGCTGGAGGGACCGCGGGACTCTTTCTCCATCCATGATTGCTCAGCTTTGTGCTGGAATGGCTCAGGTGCCAGTTGTGCCGAGCTGGGCAGTGGTGCTGGGCTGGGCAGGGGCAGGCAGAGTGCAGGGGGATGGCACCCGAGCCTGCTGGGGGGTTTTGGGGCCCTGGCAGCCCAAGGCTGTCCGTGGGCGCAAGCTGCAAGCAGACGGACTCTCCCTCTTGCGAAGCCTTGTTGGAATCAGGGCAGAAACCATCTGCCTGCACGCACGTGCACACGGGAATACACACGTGTGCATGCACACACACCACGCATCAGTCCAGGGACCAGGATCCGACCCCTCGGCACTGCTGGCTTGTCTGTCCTCCTGCCTTATTTACCTGCCGCCGGCTGCTGAGTAAGGTAACACGGGTATCCGGATGGTGTTCACGTGTGTACACGTGTGTGCACACGCGTGTGCCCCTCTGTGCATATGTGCACAAGGTTCTGCATGTGTGCAGGTTGTTGTGCATCCATGGGCGTGAGCGATACATGCAAAGCACACGGGAGAAGGATGCAGCAGGCATGCTCCCTATATGCACATGATCATGCACATGCGTGTATAGGAACATGTACTGATGCAGACACACAGGGGCCAGCCCCATGAGGGTATGCACAAGCATTGTGTGGGGTGCCCGTGCTTTGGCATGGGTCATTGTATCTATTTTTCCAAAGTTTGCCTGCATGGATGTGGGGGGGGACACACGGTTTTGGCTGGCTTCTGTGTGTCTGTGTTGGTACATGTTCCCGTGCATGTATGGGCATGGTCACGTGCATATGCAGAGCATGCCTGCTGTGTCCTTCTCCTGTGTGTTTAGCGTGTGCCCACGTCTGTTCGTGGGTACGTGTGTTCCTCCTGGTGCGTGTGCATTGCTGCAGGGCCTTGCTCTGGGCAGCTGCAGGCCCGAGCATGATTCCGCATGGAGCTGCGTATGCGTGAGCGCTGGGTGCGGGCAAGCACCGCTGGGCTCTGCCATGACGAGGCTGCGTGTGCTGCAAGGGCTGCTAGTGCAACCCTGTCCAGGCAGCCCTCCCTGTCTTGGTCTGCTGAAGGAAGGAAGATGGAGCAGGTACCGCACGGTGCCAGGCATTTTTTTCTTCATAAACAAGGGTATTTGGGGCCAACTGGAGCATGAATAATTCCCGCGGCAGCCAATGGCTGAGGGCTGGCTCCATCGCAGC